AGAATTTTTTATCCTTTGGACTCAAGCATCTTGATGCAAAATAAAACCCTAATTTGAGGTAGACTGCCTTAGGAGAGAGTTTGTCTAGTCAACCCTTGGTCTTCCTTGAGCAATTTGAGGATCTCACTTGAAATGTATTGAGAAATATGTGAGGGAAAATTTTGGGGTACAACACATATACACTATTTCTTTGAGTTCACCGTGTAGAAAAGCATTCTTGACGTCTAAATGATGAATTTTTCATGCTTTAGATAAGGAAAGAATGAGTACGGTTCAGATGTTGGTTATTTTAACAACCGTACTAGACATCTCTCCACAATCTATGCGAACCTATTGACCTGCACCATTACCTACAAGTCAGGATTTATTCCTCTCAAAAGAACCATCAAATTTTACTTTATGCCTAAAAATCCACATAGAACGAATAACATTTGTATCAGGTGGACGGGGCACTAAATGCCACACCTTATTTTGAATAAGAGCATTGTATTCATCATCCATAACCATTTTCCAATTTAGGTCTTTTAGTGTTAACACTGGTTTACGAGGGAGAGGAGATTTTGTAACTTCGGTGTGGAGACTGGTGTATTTTTGTTTTGGTTTAAAAATGTCATGTTGACTCCTCGTAACTAGTTTGTTGTCAGAACTAAGGGTAGGTTGGTAAATGGGAGGAAATGGGATATTTGGAGGAGTAGATGTGGAAGGAAATGTTTGGGCCGGTTGAGAGGTAGTTTGGGCCGGTTCTGATTGATCATGGATTTGATATTATTGATGAGTGATGTGGGCCCATGTTATTGGATATAGGTCAAGTTGGGTGATGAGGTGGTTTATGATGTAAGGTGATAATTCATTATCAAAAAATTGATAATATTTTGGATCAGGATTGTGTAGTTTACAGAGGGGAAATTTCGATTAATCAAATATGACATGGCGACAAAGGATGATTTTATTTTGTGATAAATCATAACATGTGTACCTGCGATGATTGGAAGAATATCCTAAAAAAACGCATGGGGTGGATCGAGACTGGAGTTTATTTATAGTAATGGATGGAAAAAGAGGGTAACATAAACATCCGAATACACGTAGATAAGAGTAGGATGGGTGCTTTTGAAAAATAATTTTGAGAGGTGATTGATAATTCGACTTTTTATTTGGTAAAATGTTCAATAAATAAGTTTCCATTTGTAAGGCATGGTGCCAAAAACTTAGAGGTAATGAAGAATTAATCAATAAAGTCTGAATTATATTAATAGAATGCATTTTTCGTTCATTTGTTCCATTTTGAGATGATGTATGAGGGCATGAGAAACGAAATGAAATTCCATTTGCTTCATAAAGTTTTTGAAATCTACTATTGACATATTCTCTACCATTACCGCGCTGAATATTTTTAACTTCTATTTAAAATTGAGTTTTAATATATGCTCTTAATTTTTCAAAGGTTGGAAAAAATTTAAGATTTATGTGAAATTGGAAAAGCCCATAAAAAATTCGAATAGCCATCCAAAAAAAGCACAATATATTTATAAGCAGAAGTACTTAATACAAGAGATGTCCATACATCACTATGTAGTATGTCAAATGGCATAAAAGTAGAATTATGTGAATCCATAAATGGCATTTTAACATGTTTACCAAGAGGACACGAAGGACAAAAAATCGAAGTGGACTGTATATTAGGAGTACAATCAATCATTTTTTTTCTAAAGAGAATCTAAAAATAAATGCTCCTGGATGACCCAAACAGTTATATCATACAGAGGTAGATAAAGCTGCAAACTCATAAGGGAAATGTGTTTGTTTTTTGTCATGTTGGTGATGGGATATAGCTGGCCTTGACTCTCACATCTTATTAGAACTATCCCCATCTGAAAATCCTTCACAGAAAAATTAAACAGATCAAATTCAATAGAAACATGGTTATTGGTAGTGAATTTATGAACAAAGATTAAATTTTTAATAAATTTCAGTGCACGAATGACATTGGATAAAGTTAATGGGGGGGGGGGTAAGTTAGAATTTCCAAAACCATGAATAGAAACTGAATGACCATTTCCTATGGTAATATTATTATTTTTGCTCAAATTAAAATAAGATGAGAGAATACCTTGTGTGGATATCATATGAGATGTTGCTCGAGGGTCCATGTACCAAGATGGGTCAGACTGAGCAATATGTAGAGTGTGAAGAGCAGTTTCAATATTTGTTCGGCTTAGCCCAGTTGCAGCAAAGGCAGCAGGTTGTGGCTTTTTTCCAAGGATTCATGTTTTTTGAGTTTTTGGGCCAACATTGCGCCTAGGTCAATAAGAAGGATACAAATATGGAGGAAGAGCCCAAGGTGCATATTGTTGTTTCCACTGTTGCCAAGGATACAAAGTTGGAGGTTTATGTTGCCACCCCGAGCTCGGGCCACCGTGCTCACCACTACCATTGAAGTGCATTCCTCTATGGTTGTTACGTCCTCCTCTGCCAGAGCTCCGACCTTTACCTCGGTTGTTGTTTCTTTCTCTATTGTTGTTGCTACCTTGATTTCAATTGTTTACGATAAAATTTCAAGCGGAAGTCGCGTCGGGAGAGGTGGAAGAGTTGTTAGATGTTGGGGTTTTCAAGAGTAGGGCGGCCAGAGATGAGATATCACTGGATTCTCGTGCAGTACGTTGGACCATCATCGATTCTTCTAATTCAAATCACGATTTTTCCATTTCAAAGGTTGGTAATGGATCGTGTTACTGAATGTATGTGACAAATGATGCATATGAATTTGTCAGTCCCTAAATCATCTTCAACACAAGGCGAGTGTTGTTGACGGGAGAGTCAACATTTGCAAGTTGATCTGCGAGGAGTTTGAGGCGATTGCAATATTCTTTTATCGATGGGAAATCTTCCAAGTGCTTGTTGCTGAAATGATGTTCGAGGTAGACTGCTCTTGTTGGAACATGTCCATGTTTCAATATGTTGAATTTAAAATTTTCTCAAGTCCCACATTGTTAGAATATTTTTTTGGTTGAAAAAACCATTTAGTCCCACATTGCTCATGTGAGAAATATTAACTATCCCATTTCACTATATAAGGAGTGCATATGTTTCATTCCAAAACACACCAAAAACTATTCTATTAGTTTTTTCTTCCTCACTCTCATAACTCTGCGTCTCTCGAATTGTCGAAGCGCCATCTTCTTCCCCTTTCTTCTTACTCGTTGAATTTTCCGAGTATTTTCTTGAATTCTCTTTAGAGAATTATGTTAATTTCTCCTCATTTGATTGAGAAATTTTCAAGTTTAATCTTTTGGATTCTCTTTGGAGAATTATTTGAATTTCTCTTTGTTGGAGAAATTATTATGAGTGGTCAAATGACCGTTATTAATTTCTCTTTGGAGAATTATTTGAATTTCTCTTTGTTGGATAAATTATTATGAGTGGTCAAATGACCATTATTAATTTCTCTTTGGAGAATTATTTGAGTTTCTTTTTGTTTAAGAAATTATTATGATTGGTCTTTGTACCAGATACTACGAGTGGTGTTGATACCATATTTGAATGGTCTTGTACCATCAGAGGGTGTATTTCTAGACCGATTATCTATCATGCAAGTAGTAATCGTACAGTATAGAACTGGGTTGTTTTATCCTGGAGGTGGCGCGGTAGTTTGACTGCTTTGCATAATTTTTTAGCAGTGTCGCGAAACGTCTTTAAGAGAGCGACCTAGTCCGCGACTCAACCTGGTAATTTCTTCGGTGGCAAATGTTTTAAAATCCAAAATCCAACAGCTCTCAAATGCTTGTTATCTTGAAACATAGCAGCAATTCGTTTCCAATAGCTTTCGGTGGTGTCGTTAAGCACCAGGATGGAGCTAAGAATATCATGGGTAACAGTGGCATACATCCATTGCAGAACAACAACGTCGAGACGGTTCTAGAGGCTTGGATCATTGGTCTTTGTTCGTGCGACTTCTTGTTGGATTATTGCATCAGTGGGAGGGATAATATGATTAAGGACGTTGTGGACATGCGCTTGAACCTGAAACAGAGCAGACCAAGAGAGATAAAGACTGAAATCATTAGCTAACGTGATTGGAATAATGATTTTCACGTTTATAAATGCAAAGGAAAAGTGAAATTTAGGTTGAACTGTTGGTGTTTCTGCGCCAGAGATTTCGGTGTTTACAATCATGGTGGAAGAGAAAAGAATTGTTTGGAGCGAAAGAGAATAGAATAAGGATCAAAACCTAATCGATACCATATAGGAAAATATTTCAGTGATTTTTATTGATTATGAACATGTATTATATACAAGAATTACAATTTGCATAATAGGAAATTATTTATGACCAATCAATGTAAATATTCTAAACTAATTATGCTATTTGTGTATAATATTTGTTCCAAATATAAACATGTGTACCCTCGTATCATGTCATTTAGTTCATATAAAAAAATATCACATTTTAATTTCTATAAAATTATTTATGCATGACGTTTTAATCCTTCTACAAATACTAAAACAATATACATAAAAAAATTTGTATGGACTAAAAGTCCAATTTAATAATTATATAAAGAACAAAAACATATTTAATCAATAATTAAATAAAAATACATTTAATAGGAGAGAGAAATATATGAACAAGACTTTCAATGAAAACTAGTAACTCCTGTTACTAACTTTTAAATCTCCGCATTCACCACGATTCCAACAAAATAAAAATTTACGGAGAAATTTTTAGGAGACTTATCAAGGGGCTTCACCATTCTGTATCAACAAAAAACAGTGGTTCTACCATAGTTCCACCATTGTTATTGAGTGAAGAAGCATAGTTTCTATATTGAGTTTTTTTTTTTTTAATTATATATACATTAAAATAGAGTGTCACTTTCATTAAAATAAGTAATTAAACCATTCATTATTTTTATAATCATCTGCATATGATTGTTTGAGAGGCATCTACAATACAATCATATCATTGGTGTCTTATTTTCTTTTATTTTTAGGAACAGAACTCATGGCCTAGGCCTAAAACAACAACATAGAGTATTACCAAAAGTTTCGCAATGTCCACCTGATTTATATCCTTTTCTCTTACAGTCTTGATCGCAGTTTGGAGAACAAACCGCAGAACAACAAAATGAAAGTGGCCAACCCGGAGCACATGTTTCATCTAAAACTGTTGCTGGAGTCTCCAAACTAGTAACCAATCCTGAATCAAAATATAAGTTAGTAAATTGCTTATGAAATATACAACTGAAAGATATTAAAAGAGAAATATTTCTCATCACCTGAAACCAACACCAAAGCAATGCATGAAACACCTAGAAGATAAGATTGATAACTGTGAAAAGCCATTATTTTCTGGTGAATTTGTATATCTTATATTTTATATTTGGTAAGTAAGACTAAACTCACTTATATTATATATATACACTTGAAAAATGTATTATTTAGAATATGGAAAATGTTTATTTGTAAGAAAAACTGAAAATAAGAAAGAAATGAATAAATCTCAATTATTTATTTGTTAGAAGTAATTTATGTTCAAAAGGTAATGATCAAAAGATGTTTTGTCTTAGAAGTAGAAGTTTCTGAGTTTGAGTTGTTTGTCCACGTGACAATTTAGCTTTATTGTTTAGTTTTAGACTATGCTTACGTGACAATTTATCTTTGTGTGTTTAAGCATCTTTGTAACTAATATTTCATATGTGTGAATTTACAAGAGTTTTTCAGAGTAGAGTTTTTCTCTCTAAAAGTTTGTTATAATTATTTTCTCTCTTCTTCCATCTTTATCTTTAACCGTTTGCTCTAATAATTGGTATCTAGAGTTCCGGTTCGATTCACAGGAAAACACAAGTGTACGTGGGGCATTTGTAATTGATTTCGTTGCTTGAATTTTGATTGAATTCACGATCGGAATCGTAATAGAATTTCATTTCTTAATTTTGCGGGATCGGAAAACACGAGTTTTGGTGAGATTTGAGATCTGTTTGAATTTTAGTGCATAAGAACGAAGATGAACGACAGAAACAGTTTAAATACAAAGCTTCCAATGTTTAATAGAAAGAACTAAAATCGGTGGATGGTGGCTGATTTAGATGTGTGTGTTGTTCGGTGCTCAAGACGTTCTTGATCTCGTCACCGTAGGTTACGTTTCGGTTGCAGCAGATGCGACAACGGAACAAAGAAACACACAAAGAGAAATGAGGAAGAAGGAAGAAGGATCAAAATTCATTGTTCTACATCCATCAGTGTGTGGATGCGAACGTGTTTGAGAAAATCATTGATTCAACGACGACAAAGGTTGCGTGGGATAAATTGGCAAGGTGCTACGACGGTGATGCATCACTGAAGAAGGCGAAGCTGCAGTCTCTACGTAAGCAATATAAGAATCTCAACATGAACAACAATATGAAGGTACCTGATTATATCTCTAGAGTGATTTTGATCACAAATGAGATGGAATCTTGTGGAGAAACTCTGTCTCAATAAGTAATCATTGAGAATGTAATGAGATCTCTTACTCCTCAATTTGATTAAATTATTGTAGCAATTGAGCATTCTAACAATCTTAGCATCATGAGAATTGAAAAGAGTTAAAAAAAAGTAGTCTAGAGGCACAAGAGTTGTGTATGACTGAGAGAACCTATGAAAGAGAGGTAGAGTAGACTCTGAAAGCTTATTTTGTCAAGAAGGATAAGAAGCATTTTTGGTCAGAAGTTAATAAGAGACGTGATGGTGGTTCTCAGAAGTTAGAAGTCTCTAATTCTGATGAGAAGAAACATTAGAAGGTAAAGGAGAAGCTTGATAAGAGAAAGGTTCAATGCTATTGTTGTAATAGATTTGAACACTTTGTTAAGGATTGTTGGTCAAACAAGGAGGAGAAGTAAGAAGAAGCAAACATAGCCTGAGGAGATTCTATTGATGAACATTTTCTATTGATGGCTTCTGAGTCTGATGGTAGGTATTCGGTAGACTAGTGGTATAAGGACACTGGTTGCTCAAATCACTTAACTGGAAACAAATAATGGATGATTGATTTTGACTCCAAAAAGAGGACAAAGATCAAATGTGCTGATGATAAATACCTTAATACAAAAGGTATGGGAAATGTCAAAGTTAGAGTGAAGAATGAAATAATCGTTCTGATAAAAAATGTTTGGTACGTTCCTGGTATACAGAGCAATCTGATGAGTGTATGTTAGCTCATGAAGAAAGGTTTCTCAGATATTATGAATAACAATCTCTTGAATATCTTTGACTGCAATCAGAAGTTAATTATGCAATATGAGCGAGGAAGCAATAAAACATTCAAGGTGAATATGGAGACAATTTAAACTAAATACCTTAGTTCATAAGGCTCTGAAGATGACAGTATGTTGTGACACAAGAGATTGAGGCATCTGAACTTCAGAAGTTTAGGGCATCTGAGTTCTAAGAAGCTAGTATATGGCATTTCTAAGATTGTGAAACCTGAGAAGTCACGTGTGAAATAAATGAAAGGCAAGCAACCCAAATTGTAATTTGCATCAGAAGTAGCCCCAAGAGCAAAGCATGTCAGGGGAGTAGTACATTCTGATGTATGTGGACTATTGCCAGTACCTTCACTTGGAGGAAACAACTATTTTGTGTCTTTTGTGAATGAGTTCACAAGAATGACATGGATAGCCTCATCAAGTTTAAGCATAAGATGTTTAGTGACTTCCAGAATTTCAAGGTGAAGGTGAGAAATAGAGTGGTCAGAAGTTAAAAGTTCTCAGAACTGATGGTGGAGGTAAGTACAACTCTACAGAGTTCTAGAAGTTCTGTGAGGAGAACAAAATTGAACATGAGGTTACTTCTTCATACACTCCTCAAGACAATGGTCTTGCTAAAAGAAGCAATAAAACTTTGAGTGATATGACAAGGAGCATGTTGAAAGAGAAGAAGTTGCCTCACACCCTGTAGGAAGAAGTTGTTGCCACTTCAACGTATGTGCTCAATAGGTGTCCAACAAAGAAGTTGAAGGAAACTATTCTTTTTGAGAAGTGGAATGTAGATGATAAAAGTGTGAGCCATTTTAGAGTATTTTGTTATGTGTGTTACAAACATGTTCCATATGCTTAGAGAAAAATGTTGAATGATAGGAGAAAAATAATGTCGTTGATTGGGTACCACAGTACATGTGCGTACAAGCTTTATTGTCAATTAACTAATAAATTTAAAGTCAACAAATACATCATGGTGAAGGAGTCAGAAGCATGGGATTGGAGCAAGTCTCAATCCAAATCTGATGCAATGTCAACACTTGAAGTAACTTCTGAAGATAGTTCAGAATCTGAAGGTTTTGAAGATGGATTAGAGTCATATGAAGACTCTGAAGACGAGTTAGAGTTAGAAGATGATTTTGATTCTAAAGATGAATCTAATTCTGATCCATATTCTGATGATGATCCAAAATCTAGTGGTCAAGACTCTGGCGGTCATACTTATAAAGGTGAAGCTTAAGGAGGTGGTCAAACTTCTGAAGGTGGTATAACATCTGATATTGTTCCAGAATTTGAAGAAGATTCCGAACAAGTTCAGAGTCCACAAAGAATCAGACAAATACTAAGGAGATTTGTAGAGTTTGACATGTTGCAAGATAATGAGATAAAATATAAAGGGGAAGTCATACAGTGTGCCATGTTAGTAGGCTCTGAACCAATGAGTACTAATGAAGCTCTCGAGAAGAAAGTGTGGTTGAAGGCCATGAAAGAAAAACTTTACATAAAAAGAAATAAGACTTGGGATTTGACTAATCTTCTAAAGGAGAAGAAAGCCATCAGTGTCAGATGAGTTTTCAAGATAAAGTTGAAGCCAGATGGATCAATTGTCAAGCACAAAGCAAGGAATTGACCTCAGATGCGTTTGGATGTAAAATATTTATTTCTGAATGGTCCATTACAAGAAGAGGTATATGTGTCACAACCTCTTGAATTTGTAAAAAAGAATCAGGAAAGGATGGTGTAAATGTTACCTAAAGTGTTGTATGGATTGAAACAAGCTCCTAGAGCTTGAAATTTGAAGATTAATTCATTATTCAAGCTGCAAGGATTCGGAAAGTGTGAGATGGAGTATGGCGTTTATGTTCACCATAATTCTAGAAGTAATATGATTTTGGTGTGTCTCTATGTTGATGATATATTGTTAACAGGAAGTTGTTATGATGAGATAGTCAAGTTCAATAATGTGTTGATGATTGAGTTTGAGATGAATGATCTGGGAAATTTGGTAGATTTTTTAGGGATGGAGATTGTGTACTCTCATAAAGGTATAATTTTGCATCAGCTGAAGTATGAACTTGAACTTCTGAAGAGATTTGAGTTAACAAATTGCAAGACAGCAATCCCACCTGCTAAGATGAATCACAAGTTGGATTCTAATGCTAAGGGTGATGACGTAGATGCTACAACTTTTAAATATTTGGTTGACGCATTGAGATATTTGTGTAACACCAGACCTGGCATTTTCTATGCGATTGGAATGGTGAGTAGGTTTATGAGCAAGCCAAAGTAGTCACATTACCAAACTGTTGTCAGGATACTGAGGTACATTAAAGGGATTATGAAGTATGGGGTGTTGTTCTCTTCTAGTGTTAAATCAGATACAAAGCTGATATGCTTTTCAAATTCTGATTGACATGGAGACAGAGTTGATAGAAGAAGTACTTCTGGATATTTTTTCAAGTATCTGGGAAGTTCCATTTCTTTATGCTCCAAGAAGCAACATGTGGTTGCGTTGTTAACTTGTGAAGATGAATACATCGTAGGTGCTTTGTCTGCGCCGCAAGCTGTTTGATTGATGAATTTGTTGCAGGATCTGAAGATCAAGGTTAACAAGCCTGTGAAGTTGATGATTGACAATAAACCAGCCATAAGCCTTGCCAAGAACCCGGTGTTGTATGGGAGAAGCAAACACATTGATATAAAATTCTATTTTCTAAGTAATCAAGTCCAGAATGGAGTGTTATAAGTTGTTCACTGTAGGACTCAGAAGAACTTGCAGATTTTCTGACGAAAGCTATCAAAACTAAACACTTTGTCTATTTGAGGAATGAAATTATTGTTGTAGATTCTGGTTAGCTGAACATGAATTACGGGATGGTGTTGGAAGTGATTCATGCTCAAAAGGTAATGATCATAAGGTGTTTTGTCTCAGAAGCAGAAGCTTCTAAGATTGCGTTGTTGTGTCAGAAGTTATGTCTAAGCTTCTGGGTTTAATAGTTGTTTGCTCAAGTGGCAACTTAGCTTTATTATTTAGTTTTAGATTGTGCCTACGTGACAACTTATCTTTAAGTATTTAAGCATCTTTGTAACTAGTCTTTCATATGTGAA